GGCTGGGACAGAAGAATCACTATCAGTTCCAGCTGTATAGCAAGACCCTGTACCCAATTAATTAATTTTTAAAAATTGGGAGCAGTGGGCTGGTGAGATGGCTCAGTGGTCTAAAGCACCTACTTAAAACAAGCTTAGCAAAGCACAGGGACCACGGTTCAATCCCCCAGCACCACATGCCAGCCAGCCCCGCCCCCTGGTGGGCTGAGCTGGCCACACACACACACACACACACACACACACACACAAATAAATAAAATTAAAAAAAAAAAATTGGGAGCAGAATTTAAAAAGCTGGAGACAGTGTATGCCTATAATCTGAGCACTTGGGAGGCTGAGGTAGAAGAATTATCTAGTGTTCAAGGCCCTTTCTGGTCTTTTTTGAAGGTTTTTTTTGGAGGCCTGAACATGCCCTCAGGGCATTTCTGGTTTGGCTGGAGGATCTGGGTTCAAACCAGTGGAAATTGAGCCTCACTGCATTTTTAAGCAGGCACTTAAACAACTGAGCTAATGGGCGGGCCCCCTGTCTGGTCTTTTTTGAGAAAGGATCTCACTATGAAGTTCAGGCTGGCCTTGAACTCACTTTGTAGCCCAGGCTGGCCTTGAATATGCAATGATCCTCCTCCCTCAGTCTCCTGAGTGCTGTGTGACTGCCTTTATTTTTATTGTTATTTTTTAAATTTATTTTTCTGAACTAAGGATCAAACTCAGAACCCTGCGCTTGCCAGGCAGGCACTTATGCTGCTGAGCTATCTCCCGAGCCCTGTATGACTGCCTTTAGATAGACATGTTTTCTACAGTCCTCACCACTCTGTGGTTTCCCTGACAGCCAGCATCTGGTATGTATTTATGTATGTATTTGTTTGTTTATTTTGCTTGTAGCATTGGGGATTGGCTTTTGCAACTATGTTCCCCTGCCTTTTTATTATTATTATTTTATTTATTTGGCACCAGAGATCAAACTCAGGACCTTGTGCTTGCCAGGCAGACACTTATTCCACTGAGCTATCTCCCTGGCCCTATTACTTTTAAGCAGTTAACTTGCCCTACTTGAGCCGGGTGTGGTGGCATACACCGATAATCCTACCACTAGGGAAACTGAAAGAAGGATCACCATTAGTTCCAACTTGGACTACACAGTGAGTTCAAAATAAGCCCAAACCATGTAGAGACCCTGCCTCCATAAATAAACAGCCCAGGCTGGGCTCAAAACTTTCATCCTCCTGCCTCAGCCTCCAGAGTACTGGAATTACAGGTGTGTGCTATTTTCTTTTTTATACTAAGAAAATTTGTTCTGTATTTATTCCTACCAAAAAATAGAACATGGAAGGCAAATGGACCACACAAGAAGAGATACTCATTCACCCCCACAAACATTTATTGACAACCAACCAGTTTTTTGCAAGGTATGGCTGTGCACACAGAAACTGCAGCAGGAGACAGCTTGGACAAAGTACCTTCCCTCCTGGGGTTTTGTTCTGTTTGCTGTGACTTTCTTTCTACAGTAGAGCCATTAGACTGGCTGGCTTCACCCACTGTACCTCCCCACTGGCCTCTGGAATCTGAATTGCTCCCCTGATGAGAAAATCTGCCTCTGTGTTATGGGTCTCCTACGAAGACCTTGCTCCAAAACCCACTGGGCACAAAAACCCACTTTGGCTGGCACAAAAACAAAAGTGCTCAAGAAACATCCATGGAGGGCCAGCCAAATAGCTCAGCAGATTAAAGTGCCTACAAGCAGGTGCAGGGGCCGGGGATTCGATCCCTGGGCTGCAGTGCTGGCCCCACCCCCAGGGTGCACTGAGAAGGCAATTGAGACTGGGTGTGGTGCAGAGCGCCTATAATCCCAGCTGATCACTTAGTCTGATCTAGTAGTGAGACCCTGAACACCCTGTAGACCCTTCCCTAAAATAAATTAAAAAAGAAACAAACATCTGTGGAATGAGTGAGCTAAATTCAACTCTCCATTAGCCAGACTGCTGGTCAATGCTGTTGCTACAGGATCTATGCTAAAGACACACATATTGCAGGTGGTCATCTGTCGGCTTAAGGGAAGGGTCCAGGGTCAGAACAGAAGGTGGACAAGGAAAGTGTGGGCTCCTTGAAGGCACAGCCCCAGGGAAGAAGGGGCAGATATTAATGCCTCTTGGCAAAGCATGCATCACCCTCCAGTCACCACAGGAGATGGGTGATAGGATTCTCAAGGGACAGACAAGGAAGGGCCCTTGGCCAAACTCGGGATCCAGGAGCAAGGCCTATCTGTCCCCAAAGTCCACAATCTCCTCACCTATGAAGGGGGCTTCACAAAAGTCCCAGGGGAATGTAAAGTGTCTCTAGAAGCATATCACCTTTAACTAGATTTCTAAGTCCACATCAACTGATATCTTTCCTCTCCCTCTGTCTTTGTCTGTCTTTCTCTCTCTCTCTCTCTCTCTCTCTCTCTCTCTCTCTCTCTCTCTCTCTCTCATGGTACTGGGGATTGAATTCAGGTGACCTTGTGCATGCTAGGCATTCACTTTACCACTGAGCTACAATCCTAGCCCTGATTCTCCTCTTTTGACACTTGACTTTTGAACTGTATGGATCCATGAGACTCATTTCCTCCCAATCTGTTCTGGTGAACATTTCACACTCTATGAGAGCTAGGTTCAATGGTGCACACCTTTAGTCCCAGCTACTTGGGAGGTTGAAGCAGGAGCATCCAAATTCAAGCCCAGCCTAGGCAATTTAACAAGGCCTTAGCCAGATGTGGTGGTGCATGCCTGTAATCCCAGCACTAAGGAGGCTGAGTTAGGAGGATTGCTGAGTTTGAGGCCAGCCTGGGCTACAAAGTGAGTTCAAGGCCACCCTGAACTGCACAGTGAAACCATGTCAAAACAACAACAGGGGCCGGGGAGATGGCTCAGTAGAATAAATAAGCGCTTGCCTGGCAAGTGCAAGGGCCTGAGTTCAATCTCTGGTTCTGTAAAAAAAAAAAAAAAAAAAAAAAAAAAAAAAACAAGGACTAGTCTCAAAATAAAAAAGGGGGCGGGGCTGTACCTCCGTACATAGGTCCTAGGTTCATTCCCCAATACCAAAGGGGTGATTAGTAGTAAAGCCTCTGTATGGAAAAACAAACAAAAAACCAATATGCAGGAAAGCTATATGCAATGAGAACTGTGAAATGCATGGATCCCCTCCTTACCCTCTCAGTAGGTTGGCTAGTAAAAGAAGTTCAGCCATGGCCAAAGAATCGCAGTGAAATGGCTCAAGTGGCCACAAGCAGTCCTGAGCAGGGCGGGCAGTGGGGTGGGGCATCCCTGTCATGCAGCCTGGACCAGAGCAGAGCAGGATGAATTGGAGGTGGGGAAAGAGGCTGGTTGAACCCTGCTCAGGGTTGGCCTGGCAGCACCTGGGTCCAGGGTACTTAGCTCTCCTCTGCCCTTCTGCTCTTGATGCACCTGAAATCTGGTCGGCTATGCAGGACACAGAGAAAAGTTGGGAGAGCATGTAAGCAGAAAGGGCACAGCACTGGGGTTTGCAGAAAGTTGGTGGAATTGAATGTAAAGCCCCACTCTCTGGGTTTGGGCCTCCTCGCATGGACATGGCTAAGCGCACCAAGAAGGTCGGCATAGGGGGCTGGGGAGATGGCTCAGTGGAATAAGCACTTCCCCAGGGCCTGAGTTCAATCCCCGGTTCCACCACAAAAAAAAAAAAAAGTTGGTAAATATGGGACTCACTATGGTGCCTCACTCCAGAAATAGTGAAGAAGATTGAAATCAGCCTGCACACCAAGTACACCTGCTCCTTCTGTGGCAAGACCAAGATGAAGAGGTGAACTGTGGGGATCTGGTACTGTGGTTCCTGCATGAACACCGTGGCTGGTGGCGCCTGGACCTACAATATCCGTTCTGCAGTCACAGTCAAGTCAGCCATCAGAAGACTGAAGGAATTGAAAGACTTGTAGAAGCTCCTACTATTTGAGATATCCCTAGCCTATAATAAATGGGTTATTAAAAAAGAAAAAAATGTGGAGCCCCGTCCTGAACAGAAAAGGAAAAGGACAGGAAATAAAAGGAAAGGAAAAGAAAAGCTCTCGTAAATGAGGGAAAGAGGGGTTAAAGAGAGATAAGGGAAGAGAAAAAAGAAGATACACCAACATTCCCTATAATATGATCATTATGTATACCTAAAACGTACCAATAAACTTAATTTTAAAAAAAGTTAAAAGCTCCTTCCTACACGATGCCTTCCTGGAGCAGAAGAGGGGTCTTCAGCTCCAGGGCGCCAGGTGGGTGCTCTGCTTCGTATTCACGCTGTGGGGTGCGGGTTCTCCACCCATCAACCCGCACAATTCCGCTGCCCTGCGTGCCTCCCCGCACGCACGAAGCCGGCAAATACCTCTGAGCTGAACCACGAATTGCTCAGCCTGGCTTTTGACATCCTGGACCGCCTGGGCACAGGCCCGGTTCAACAAGTGTGCCCCGAGCCGCCCTTTCCCGCCCGGCGGCTTCGCGCCTTCCCGGGCGCCCGGGGCGCGCCAGGTTGGGCTGGCCCCGTTGGGCGAGTTTTATTTCATCACCCGCGGAGCGTGCGAGCGCCTATGTACATAACGTTGCCCTCCCCTCCTCTCCTGCCAAACTCCTACCGAAACCCTCCATTTGCAAACGTTAGCACGGCCCGCTTGGGAGGTCCCGGGCGTTCTGGGCACCCTGTACGGCTGGGGCTTGGGGGCTGGGTGCTAGCGCCCCCCCCCACGCCCCGCCCTGCCCCCGCCCGGCCGCCCAGCCCCGCCCCGCCCGCGAGGCCACCTCACCCGCAGCGGAATGGAAACCGGTTCGACAGGTAACAAATAGGTGGGTTGTCACCGTTATTTCCCAACGCATGCGCCATCGCTCGCTGGGCCACTCCAAGCTAATTAGATCAGATCACCCCCCCCTCCCGCCCCAGCCACCGACACATACCGCCGCGAGCCAATAAAGCGTGAACCCGTCCGTCCGGCTCGCACTTTAAGACTTCGCGAGCAGCTGCGGGGACGCCAGTTGAGCCGAGGGACGCGTACCTGCCGCTTGCCGGCCGCCCCGTGCACCTGGCTGCAAAGGAGGAGTTGCAAAGCGAGTGCGCCAGTCCCGGTACAGTCTTCGCGCTGAACGTGGAGGGCGCCTCAGCGACTCCTTAACTGTCCCCTTGCTCGTGCCTCCAGCCCAGCCAGAGAAAGGGGCGATAACCTCGGTTGTAGTTACCGAAGAGGATCGCACCGGGACCGGAGAGTTCGAAAATGCCCCGCGCGTTCCTTGTGAAGAAGCCGTGCATCTCCACGTGCAAGAGGAACTGGAGCGAGCTCCCGGACGAGGAGCGCGGCGAGATCTACGTGCCAGGTGAGGCTCCCGGCGTCCGCGGCGGCGAGGGCGGGGCGCAGGTACGCATGGCTCGGCGCCCGCTGCCGAAACGCCGGGATGCAGGCAGCGCTCGCCTGCCTGTGCCCCGTTAGCCCGCGGCGGGCCGAGCTAGGGAGAGTGGAGGGGAGGGCGGCGCTGGCGGAAGGAGCGCCGGGTGGGGGTGGGGGACCGCTCCTTGGCCGGGGGGCGCAGGGAAGGCAGCGGGGTGTGTCACCGCCCGGGCGACCGTAGGCTCTCGCGTCGTAAATCCAGAAAGCCGGGACTTTCTTGAGGCAAGAGGAGGGCACTGGAGCGATGCCACTGGGGGGCAGGGATTGAGTTGGAGTCTCGGCTGTGGTTTGCGATACAAGTGAAGGAAGACGCCGAGTTTAAACCGCTTCGGGGCTGCCCCCTCCCCCACAACATGGTGGCGGATCTGGGCCAGGGGCGCAGCACTGGGTCCCCCTCTGAGTTTTCCTGGGGCCCCAGCCCGGCTGGCCGAACATACAGGACGCAGTGCACCCCACTTGTCTTTGAAACAAAGGTGGGATCGGGTCTCACTTCTCTAAGAAACGCAATCCTTTCATCTCCAATGGCGAGTGGTTTCCTGGAGTCCACCTTGAGGATCCCTGGGAGCCGGTGCGCCCGATTTGTTTTGGGAAGACGCTTTGACAGCGTCCAAGTCAACTTTGAATGAGTAACCGAGTCATCTCTTCCTCCCGCTGCACCCTCCCCAGGAGCCCTGAGGGCACTTCTGTCCCCTGCCTCCGACACAACGTTCAGTTAGAAAAAGGCCCTGCACTCCCCCTCCCCAACCTTGGGGGTGGGGCAGGGGCGCACAGAACACCCAGCCCAGCGCCTCCAAGGGGGGAGAGGTGGTAATTAACCAACCGACTTTGACCCTTGATCTGCAGACTCCCTGGCACCGCCCAGACCTTTAGGAAAGTTAAGGAGAGGACTGTGGGTGAGGGGCCCTGTGAGGGCTCTGCCTCAGTTTCCCTCCTTAATAAGCTGTTGGAGATGGGATTATAATGGTGAGGTCTTTGTGACTTCACCTATCAGGATCCCATGACGTGCTGGTGGGATATTTCACAGCTTAACCTTACCTTAAGGGTTTGGGCCTCGCTTCTCTTAAGGAACTGAGGCCGTTGGGGAATGAGCTCAGGATTTTAGTTTCTTGCTGGCCAAGTGCTCCACCTCCTGAAGGCCCTATGAGGGACAGGCCCCCTCCTTATTCCTTTTCTCTTCCTCAACCTGTATTTGACTTGCTGCTTAGCTGCTCCTTGGGATCTGATAAACTGAACTTGGACTGTGTTAAAGGTGAACTGAGTCCTGAGCTGGACTCAGTGCACTGTTATTTCTAGGGTTTATTTATTTATTTATTTATTTCTAGGTTTATTTTGTATTGTAGTCAGTAACTGTGGACCAGGGATATAGCTTAGTGGCACAGCACCTGCCTGGCAAGCACAGGGTCCTGAGTTTGATTCCCAGTAAAAAAAAAAAAAAAAGTAACATCCTCTGTTGACTTTTACCAAAGGGGGCAAAAAAAATTCTGGTAGTTCAAATCAATCCTAGTTGGGGGACCTACCAGTTAGCTCAGTTAAGCGCGCAGGATACCACAATCCCCAACTCCTCAAGCCTTACCAGACCTGCCCTTAAGGCAGCCTGAGCCAGCCAAAAAAAAAATCCTTCAAATCAATTCTAGTGATCCCGAGCTGGGGATGTAGCTCAGCTGTGCAGAGCCTGCCTAGCAAGCGTGAGGCCCATAGTTTGATTCCTGGTACCAAAAAAGAAAATATTAAAAATAAGAACAAAAAAGTTCTTTTGGAAAAAGAAAAAAAAAATTCTAGTGATCCCTGCCACCACAGTGAGAGTGGTGGTGGCAGAGACCTGTGCCTCAGGGGTAGTCAGTGGGATCAGGTGTAGGGGAAGGCTTCTGTGGCCCCTACCACTGCCGTTGCTATCCAGATGAGGGAGCACACACACTGTCCTCTCTCTCCTGGATGGTTCTGGCTTGGGACCTCAAGAGGCCCTCATACCTCCCACAGCTCTGGCCAGAGAGAGTCCTGTGGGTTGAAATAAGGATAGAAGTTACAAAACTTAATTTTGCTTCAAAAACCATGTTGTCCACTGGAGAGTTTCCCACAGTTTTGGGAAATGAGACAGGGAATGTTCTCCATCCATGCTCGGTGCCTCACATGGCTGGAGAGCAGAGGGGTGTTTTGTGGTGGCCTATGCCCTGGCGGGGCCATTCTATCACCAGCCAACCATGACTCCAGGAGCTGGCTGGGCACGTTTCAGTCACCCTACCTCATAGACTCCAGCAGATTGTGACTAGCTAAGCACTGACCCAGTTCCCACTGGGAAGGCTGAAATGGTGGGGAGCACTGGAGTTCTTACCTTCCTGCCAGGCCTTTCCAGAACCATTAGAGCCTCACAGAGACCACCTAGATGGAAAAGGTTTCAGCAGGACTCAAAAAATCACACCACACCAGCTTTTCTCCCCTGGGCAGAATTCTAGAGGTTTCCCCTCCCAGGGCAGAAGCTATCCCTTAGCCCTTCCTTTCCCAAAAAACTGAGGGGAAAGCCCCTCCCACCTTCCCTTCCCCCATGTACTCCTCTCTCCTGGAGGGGGCTTCTCTCTGTGGTTGTGTCAATATTGACTGTGGAGTGACAGGGAAGCATGCTGGTTTCTTGAGGATGAGCCAGGCCCCTATACCTGAGGTAAATTCCACTTCTGAACTGGGGGAAGGGCTCCAGCAGCAGGGATGAGGTGGAGCTTTCAAGCCCAACTCCTGCTGAGTGGAGTCTCAATGCCAGGAAGACACCTGGAGGTCAGACCCTGCCTCGAAGCTGGAACTCCAGGGACATCCCAGGAACCTCCTCCAGGCCCCCAAGCCCCAACTTCCGACCTTCCCTCTGGCTGCTGGTCTGAGCTTCTGTTTACTACTGGAGCAGCACGTGCACAAGCCTCAGGACAAGCCCAGGAACAAGCCCAGGAGGCCAGCAGGGCTGAGCTGCTGAAGCCTGGGGTTTCCTTTAGTTTAGTAATGTGGCCCAGCCTAACTCTGTCGGTCATTCCAGGCTGAGCTAGAAATATCGAGAATGTCAGCTTTGGACCCAAAACACAAGTGTGAGAAGGCTGAGAGCTGGGAGGTGAGGCCTCCATGAGTATTCTAGTAATTCCTGGAAATACTGAGCATTGAAGGAGGGGTTTGCCATGTCCTCTACGTAGTGAGGCTGGGAGAAGGGACAGTCAGCCAGTACCTGGGGAAAGAAGAGCAACTTAGGCCCAGTGATGGGCTAGATGGGATTCTAGCACTATTACCCAACTATTTATCTCAAGCTTGGATATCCCACAGCAGAGTACCTTTTGTTTTTTTATAAGGTCTCACTTTGTAGCCCAGGCTGATCTTGAACTCACAGCAGTCCTCCTGCCTCAGTGTCCTGAATGTTGGGATTATGAGCATGCAGAGTGCCTTTATTATGGTTCATTTTAGCATGCATTGTATGGCATCTTATGGGAGCATCCAGGCTGGTCGGGATAAGAGTGTCACAGGAAGAAGGGATTAAGATGTGAGGGCCTAACGCACCAACTTCAACATGGACACTGAATGAAAAGCAGTTGGGAAAGGGGACATGAAAACAAAAGGCTGAGAGATGGGCCCATTGTGTTCGCAGGCTGTTGCCTCTGCCATTGGCTGGCACCATTCCTTTTAGACAACTGCTAGCTGACCTGCAGGACTGGGGGAGCTGGACAGAGAGGTTGCAAGATGCGGTTCTTCCTTCCTGATACAGTTGCAAGGCTGCTTAAAGCAACCAGGCTGTGCAGACACACATTCAAAATAAGTGGCCCCCACCAGCACCCATGCAGTCAGCTGAGGGACCCAGGAAGCTGAACATCCTCACATCTGCCTCATTTGTTCTCCCCAGAAAGCCAGGATTCTCATGCCCGGTTCTGGGGCTTTGGATGGGGTAGGATCTGGCATTCTGTCCCATGTTTGGGCCAGTAGCTTTCAGTCCCAGAGATGAGGGTTTGCAGAGGGATGGCATGATGATTCAGTCCTTAGATGGGCAGCTGTCTTAGCACAGCCTCTATGTGTCCTATCCACTGCTATGGCCCCCAGGTCAGAACATTGTCCTGTTAGAGGCACACTGGGCCAACAGGAGGGGACCCATCAGCCCCACAGGATGCAGGGACAAGGCCTGCTGGATTGACCTGTAGGCGGGCAATGAGTGGCCACAGTGGGGTACCGCCTTGCCGGAAGCATCTAATTAGGGGGGGACAGGGAGCAGTCCCAGCAGAGTCCAACCAGTTCTGCTTCCTGCCTCTTGCCATTCAGTGGCACTTGGGATGGGCAGTTGGCAAGCCAACGTGCACTCCCTCTATGTGCAGCCCAGCAAGGGACACATGGAGGTGGCACAGAGACAGGTTTGGTGGGGTGAGTATGATGAGACACAGATCTCCACCCTGGCAGCCTCACCTGCCTCTTGCTCAGGGTAGAGGTGGCAGAGAGTGACCCAGCAGCCTCCACCCTGTCTGCAGGTTCATGTGGATGTGCAGAGACAGGCAATGGGCATGAGTTTGGGTCCCCAGAACCCCAACCATGAGCCAAGTGGAGCCAGAGACAATGAAACAGCTCCTAGCTTGATCCAGCCCACCTTGTCTTCTATCTCTCCTGTTCTGCTGCTCCCAGAGCAGGTGTGGCCTAGCTCTGGCTTTCAGTTTGGGGAAGCTTCATGTCATCCTCAGCTGAGACTGAAGAGGAAAAACATTCCTCTTTGTCTCTCCCTGGGGTAAGAAATAGACATGGTCATTCAGTGTTGTGTTCTCAGTCGAGGTCTTCAGTGACTGGTAGGCAACCACCCTTGGTCACAGATCAAATAGCCCTAGTCCTGTGTGTGCCAGCAGCTCCACTAAGAGCAGACCAACCCTTTGATGGCGAACTCTAGAGCTCAGCCTGATACCATCCCGCATGGCCCAGAGAGAGGTGGGACGCCGTTCAGGGGCCAGGCAGGGCTGGTGAATCAACTCCTGGAATGAGGTGGCTCATTAAAGTCCCCCGGACAGACGGACGCCAGTTGCCCGCAGAACGAGTTCTAGGCGCGGGCAGGCACATTCTTCTGTGAAACCTTTGTTGTGTTTTGAGGGGGCGAGAGCTGGGGCCTCTCCCGAAACTGCAGCACTCTCATACTCAGCTATCCTCCCTTATTATGTTCTGTACCTTTTCCTATGGACCTGTCTGTCCAGAGAAGAGTAGCGGCCCTGCCTTGGGTCCTTGCCTCTGTCTCTCCAGCTTCCGAGGGTGTGAAGAGCCCTGCCCATGTGTCTGAAACCTCAAATCCATGTGCTAAGTCCTTCTCTGATTCCTACTCCTTTTCTACCCCAAGCCCCATTGATTGATTGATTGATTGATTGATTGATTATACTGGGGATTGAATCCAGGGCCTTCACACTAATCTACATCCTTGATCCTTTTTTTAAAAATTTTGTAAATTTTAGGGTTTTCCTCTTTTTGAAATGGGATTTCACTATGCATTTTGCGCTGGCCTCAAAGTCACTTTGTAGCCTAGGCTGGCCTTGAACTCACAGCAATTCTCCTGCCTCTACCTGATGTGTCCTGGGATTGCAGGAGTGGCTTAGGGTTACCCTATCTGCTGTCCCATGGCTCTTTTGGTTTGTCCTTCCAAAGCTTGGGAAATGTTCCTAGTTTACAGATTTTAACTGTCGTGCTTAGGCTATACAAACTGAAATTTTAATCAAGAAACTAAACCGTTTTTCTCGGGCTGGAGAGATGGCTCAGTGGTCTAAAGCACTTGAAACAAGCTTGGCAAAGCACAGGGACCGCAGTTCGGTCCCCCAGCACCACATGCCAGCCAGCCCGCCCCCTGGTGGGCTGAGCTGGCCACACACACATACAATAAATAAATGTAATAAATAAATAATTAAAAATAAATAAATAAAAAATAAACCGTTTTTCTCTCGTGCTGTTGACTTTGAGACTTGTCCTGAGTCAGGTTTGGCTAGCCCTCATCAGGACTAGAGCCCAGGGTCTACAGCCAAGGCTCCCTGGCCCGTTCAGTGTGAGGTACCTGCCTTAGGGAGCAGCTGTGTCAAAGGGTTGCCAGGTATCGGTGCTGCCACTGCCAGAGGCAGCCCAACCCTACTGCCACAGCAAGCAAGCGGTCCACTGTGGGGGAGGGTTGCGTAAGTGCTGGGCAGGCGGCCCAGAGACTGTTACGAGCATCCACCTGCTGCTCCCTGACTTCCTCCCTCTCCACCCACCTGGCCTGTTTGCCTGCGGTGCAGGACCCAGCCCAAGTCAGGAGCTTGCAGGCCATGGGACTGCAAGAGCAGGGACCGGCTAGGTTAGGGAAAGAGGGGCTAAGACCGCCTGAACCCCCATGCAGCTATTTAGCTCCTTACAGGAGAGACCTGAAGGAGTTCTGACTACTAGAGACCTTTCCAGGGCCAGGCTGAGCCTTGAGGAGCTGTCCCTCACCCGGGCCTCAAGTGGTGCCCTTTGTCCCTACAGGAGTGAGGACAGGCCTGGAATCCAGAGGGACTGGCCCAGGTGGGGCAGGCAGACAGCTCTGCAGGCATAATTGTCAGGGCAGTTTGGTCCTCCCAGTTCCGCTAAGACACAAATTACTCAGCGGGCAGTGTCGCTTGGCTGGCGTCACCTGTAATTACCTTATTGGGGCAGGGAAGGAGGTACAACGATTGGTGGGTTGGGGGCAGTGCCATTCTGTACATACCCACAAGGGGAGGGACAGGCTCTAGGTTCCAGTCAGGTCCTTGCTGAGGAATCTTCCTAAAACCTGACAGGATCCTCTTTTTCTTTACACACCCTTACTTGGCTCCTCTTTTCTCCCCAGTCAGCTTGGGCTTCTGCCCACCACAGCCCTATCGAGAGCCAGAGCCATCAGTGGCTGAACCTCCTTCTTGCTCCCTGGCTCTGGACATGAGCCTTCGGGACTCCAGCTATGGTGTGGCCCCAGGACCCTGTGTGGTGGCTCAGCTACCTTCTGAAGATGTGGGCCGCCTGACAGATGCCCAAAGCAGAGACCAGGGCTTCCTGCGCACCAAGATGAAGGTAACAATTCTCAGACCATCTTGAAGACCAGGGCCACATGTCCAGCCCCCATAGTGCCAATGAGACACAGGCAGAGCCTAACCTAGGTCCTGGGCTGCAACTTCTGTACAGGCTTAGCTGTACGACAGATGGGGAAGAGAAGTAAGGAGACCTAAAATGAGAACTAATAGCTCTTTCAAGTCAATGTTCCTGGGATAATCTAGTATAGCAAAGAGAGCTATAAGAGAGAGAGAGAGAGAGAGAGATGGGGCTGGTGAGATGGCTCAGTGGTCTAAAGCACCTACTTAGAACAAGCTTAGCAAAACACAGGGACCACGGTTCAATCCCCCA